TCAATACCTATTTATTATGAAAACACCTAGAAAGCAAGGAATAGATGAAAACTTCCTTAACTTAGTGAAGGTTAAATTCCAATTTTAGAGCACTACACTTAATGGAGGAATATTAGATGCATTTTCTTTATGATTAGGAACAAGACAAGGATTTCCATTACTACTTAACATAGTACTGGAGGTCCTGGTCTATAGGTAAGAAAAAACTTAAAGGTAAGAAAAAATGGACAGTTGTAAAACTTAGCAGGGAAGAGACACAACTCTTGATATTTTCTAACAATATCAATATCTATTTAAAGTCAACCAATGAAATTAAAAAGATAAACTATTAGAATAAAGAAGAAAGGTCATTGTACTGATGATAATAGTTACTTGTACTTCTCCACTTCAGAGATAACCAATGAGAAAATGGAAGAGATACACCAGTCGATATAGCAATCTTTATATGTATATATATATACACCCATGTGTATGTGTGCGCATTCTAGGAACTAGTCTAGGATACACAAGATCTCTATGGAGACTTTGCATTAAACTTTGATACATGATTTGGAAGATGAGTTTTTTTGTTTTTTGTTGTTTTTGTTGTTTGTTTTTAGTGAGAGAGAAACTACGCTCATGGATGGGAAGACCTTACTATTTACAACATTGAGGTTATAATTTAAAACATTTCTACATTAAAATTCCAGTTCAGCAAAGTTTCATTTGCAATTGTACTAAATATTTAAATAAGAAATAACACCAAATTTACACATCTTTCAAAGAATAGAGAAAGACTCCACTCAAGAACTTCCATAAGTTCAATATAACTCAATACAAAAACCTGGCTAGAACACTACAAGAAATAAAAAATATAAGCCAATGTCATTCACTAAAAGACATAAAAAATCCTAGCATAAAAAATTAGTAAACCAAATTTAGTGTTATATGGACAAATTGGTTTTATTCCACAAGTAAAAGGTTTAACATTTAAAAAATCAATGTAAAAAACATCATATAATCATCACAAAAGTTACAGAAACAATATTTTATAAGGTAAACATACTTTCACATTTTTTTTTAAAATTTTTAGAAAACTAGAAATGTCTTTAACCTAAAGCAAACATTATATTTAACAACGAATACTTGAAACTTTCTCTGTGCGGTTGTGAATGAGACACAGACGTCCCTTATCATTACTCCTATTCAATATCATCCTAGAAGTACTAGCCAGTCCTTTAACTGAAGAAAGAAAAAAGTATAATCATTAGAAAGAAGAAATAAGATCCATCAATATTCACAGAAAACATGAATGTGTACATAACAAATCCAAAATAATGGAATGATAAAATCAAATAACTAAGAATAAATCTGAAAAAGTGCAAGAATTCCACAAAAGAATTATAAAATGTTATCGATAGAAATGAAAAGAGACCTGTATAACTAGATAGCTATACCAGGTTCATGGATCAGAAAACTTAATTTAAGATGATGCCAGTTCTCTCCAAACCAATGCACTGCTGATCAAAACGACAAAAGGACTTTTGTGGAAGTTGATAAGTAAATTCTAAAATATATATGAAAATTCAAACGGGAAACTTAAAGGAGAATAATAATCAAAACCTATTCTACAAGAGTAGTTCCAAAATTTGGCTGCATGTTATAATCATCAAGGAGATTTTTAAACACATATGGTGATTTCCTATTGCTTACATAGTGAAATCCTTATCTCTTAAGGAGAGACCCAGGCATCTATATTTTTAATACTTCCCAGGTGTTTCCAATGTGCAACCAAGTTTGAGAACCACAGCTTGGTAGCATATTATTGTATTAAATATAATATAAGTTATATATTGTTGCCAACCTGAATTTTGATGGAGTGAAATTGGTATAAGGATAGCAAGTAGGTGAATGGAACATAATAGAAGCTGTGGAAAGAGACGTAGACGTGTATGGACACTGTTCGTGACTAATGTAACACAGTAGGAAAAAGGCAGTTTTTCAATAAATGTGACTGCACCAATTGGCTCCATAGAAGAAAAAACAAACATTGATCTCAGCCTCATACCATATACAAAAAAATTGATGCCAAGTTGATTGCAGATCTGAAGGAGAGAGTCAATAAATGGCATCTCCAGAAGATAATATAGAATATCTTCATGAACTTACGGTAAAGAAAAATTTCTTTGACAACACAGAAAAAGGAAAATAATTATAAATTGACTACACTAACAATAAAATTAAAAACTTCCATTCATCAAAAGACACCATTTAAAAAATGAAACGTCAAGCTATTGTCTGAGAGAGGACATTTGCAACACAGATAACTGACAAAGGGTCAGTATCTCTTTTATATAGACAGATAGATAGATAGATAGATAGATAGATAGATAGATAGATAGATAGACAGATAGATAGATAGATAGATAGACAGATAGATAGATAGATAGATATGTCCAATACATATAAATTTCATCCAGTCAATGATAAAAATTTATAAAATCCAATAGAAAAATAAGCAAGAGAAATGAACAACCTTTTCATAAAATAGCCTCTCCAAAAGACCAATAAACATAAGAAAAGATTTTCAGTCTCATTAGTCACCAGGGAGTTGTAAACTAAAACCATGAGCTATCACTATACTCTTACAAGAATAACTAAAATTAAGAAGATTGATAATATCAAGTGTTGTCAAGGATAAGGATTAATCAGAACTCTCATATACTGCTGGTGGGATTGTAAATTGGTATAACTACTTAGGAAAATTGTTTTTTATTAGCTACTAAGGTTTAACACACACATATGACATGGCAATTCCACTTATTTACATACCCAAGTGAACAAATATACAAATGAACATGCATGTATAAGAATGTTCACGACGTTAGTGGTAACACCTCCTAACTGGAAATAATCTGAAAGCCTATTAGCAGTAGAGTGGATAAATAAATTATGGTATGTTAACACAATGGAATATTATACCCACTGAAATAAACTATATAGAACAGCATGGACTATTTTACAAAGATAATGTTGAATATGTATGCCAACCAGAAAAGAATACATTCTATACTTTTCTAGTTTATAAGTGGACAAAAGTCATAATAATAAGGGTTACCTTTGGCAAGGATAGTGGATAATGCTTGAGAAAGGGCACAAGATGAGACTTCTAGAATACTTGCAATTTTCTATTTCTTGACCAGGGTGGTGGTTACATGAATATGCTTATTTTGTGAAAATTCATCAGAGTGTACACTTTTTTTTCTCTTAATTGAAGTATGACGTATTTGTAAAGTATTAAGGAATGAAGATGGTCTGAACACATGGAGAGACATTCTGTGTTCTTTTGTAAGATAATATAAAAACGTTAATTCTTCCCAAATTAATCCATAAAATCAGCATAATCCAATACAAATTCCAGTTGGGTTTCTGAAGTAAGTAATTGATTTCTTTAAAAACGTATTTGAAAGGTCTGTGAATAGCTACATCAACTTGGAAAAAAAGGAGTGGAAAACAAGAGATTGGTCTATACATGAACTACGTATTAAGAGTTATTCTGGAGAAAAAATTACAAAAATAGTATGATTTTGACACAACTGAGAAAAAATAAACTGCAGAACTAGAAGAGATTTTTCAGAGACAGATTAATCCAGATGTGAGCATATAACATGATCTAAAGGCAGCAACACAAATCAATGGAGAAAGGGTGCTAGCTCAGTAAATGATACTGGGAAGTCAGGTTTACTATACGGAAAAAAACTGATCCTCCAAATGGATTAAAAACTAAAAGTGAAATATAAAACTGTAAAGTTGATATAAAATAATGTAGGAAAATATCTTTGCAACCTGGACATATGGAAAGACTTCTTAGACAAAGCCTCAGAAGCACAAACCAAGAGACAAGAAATTATTTGGAGCTGGCTTAAGAGCACAGAGACATTTCATCATACTGTATACATGGAAAAACATGGTCTCATTCCAAATAACCAGTTACAAATGAATTAAACCAAACCCTATACTAAACTGATAATAGCCTGCACCAATTCATCGCCTGCAGGTTTGTGTGTGTATGTATGTATGAACCAAGTCTGACATTTGTCAACCTTTGTTTTATTTTATAATATGATAGCTAATACATTCTTTTTCTATGAATGGGACAGATTTGCCTACCAACAGTTCTTTGAGTTATTTTCCCAGAAGTTTGTCTGGACCTGATTTGACTACTGCCTCAATTCTACCACTCTTGCAAGCAGAAATATATATTTGCCTAGAAACTGACTTTGTCTGGCCTGCTTAAAAGATTGCCTGCTTAAAACTAACAGCTTAAAGATTCTAGGGTATATCTCATAGGCTTTAATGTTCTTTTACCAAATTAACATGGTAAGCACATCTAAACACGTTAGCTTCAATCATTCGATAAATAATTCAATAAATTCAGTAATCTTAATTGAACTCTGGCTTATCAATATAGATTCTTAAAAATTATCCTGTCATTAGTAGACATTAATTTCTATACCTTCAAACAAGAATGTCATTATTTAAGGAATTAAGAGTTAGGCCACTACAGAAAGAGCGAGAGAAGCGGTGACATAAGCAACATTTAGAAGTGATTTAAGAGTTTGGCAAATTTTTCTTTCTGAACACTGTGCTTTTAATAGTTGCTTTTGTGTTACAAAAACTAAATTTTATCTTTTATATTCTAGAAACATAAATACGGATAACTTTTAGTCTTGATTACAACCAATTTCAAAGGAAAGGCAGAAATAATTTGCCTTTTTTGTTGAACCATTTGAAGGCCTATGAAAGCTCAAGAAGCTTCACTTAATTCCTTGTCCCCATCCACTCCAGAGTCCAAACTAGTTGGTCCCTTCTCCAACGCTACTGGGTCTTGACCATGCGTCACTTAGTTACTGTCTCTCTTTTACAATGACCTTTCAGAACTCATTTAGTCTTTATTAAAATCTCCTCCTCCAATTCCTACAAGCACTTTCTAGCCAGCCAAGAGACAAGAGGGTGCTTACCTTCAAAATAGATGCCTGACTGGATTTCGAGAACCCTGGGGAGGGTCCTGAGGTCAAGGGCGTGGATGAATTCTTCCAGCGACAATGCCATTGCTCTGACTTGGATGGTGTGCAGACTTGGTACTTACAGAGGATTAGGGCTTCTAGGTGTCACTGGTCTGCAGTTGCAGTCCCTGTTCATCATTCCTCCCTCAAGTAGGCAGGGATGTCACACTAAAGCCCAACTGCAGTGGAGTAGCTGGAGTAGCTCTATGTAGGGAGATCAGAGTGGAGGAGGGAGGAGGCAGGAGACAAAAGGTGTTACAGCTTTTTGTTCTCATTGTGGCTTCATTTCCTTCTGACACAGAAGTAGAACAGGATGGGGGTGGGGTGAGCATGTCTGAACACACACTATCAAAAAACTGAGACGTGATAAGCAGCTCACTCTGTCTGTTGCTGGTCCAGGTGTGCATCTGCAGCAGGGACAAGTCTGTTTGGGGTCAGAGTTGCTTGTGACTTGTCGGCCAGAGAAGAACAGGAGTACAGGACTGAAGTCTCATCTTAAAAATGGCACCACGTTAATTATCTCTTTACTTCATTTCTAAAGTTTGGTTTTGGGCCTTATTTGCATATACTCAGTGCATTTATATTAAATTTGGTTATGAAAGTGCTTTGTGTCAGCTCTTTTCAGAAATCTGATACTCTGGAGAGAGGATCGAAACCACTTTTTATTCTTCCACATTAAAAATTTTGCTGAATCTTAAAGGAGGGTGGGGGAAGGGAGTAATATGCAAAGCGATACAGTAAATTAATTCAGTAAGTTAATATGAATTCTGTAATCACCACCCTATAGTGAAAGTATCTAAATCTGTTATTAGGAAGCTTGGGTTTCTTGGGTTTAGCTCTGATTTTGATTTACACATGACTTCAGCCTTGTCTTCTCTGTTCCTCATTTGTTTCATTTATTACATGGAGAAAAAGTAGAAGGAGTCAAATTGTACAATTTCCTCCAAAGCCAACCTTCTACAATTCTGACCCTGTGGTCCAAATTTAGGGAAGAAAAATGCCCAAAGTCAAAGGAGGCAAGAGATACCTCATGAAAACACATCTCTTAAAAACATTCCTCTCTCGATTCTTTGTGTTTGGCTGAAACAATGTTTTAGAGCTAGAGTATATAACTGAAGGTGACATTTTGTACTGTTTTTAGGGGCGAATAAAGGAAGACTGGTTGGTATAGAAACAGGTGAAAGATGCTGAGAAGCTGCACATTCTCCTTATAAATTGGACTCCAGGCTCCCTGTCTAGGAATTGTTTAGTGTCGGGCTGCAGAGAGCTTAGCCAGGTGGAGAGGGTCAGGGCGCCTCTCACCTCCACCATTTCCTTCAGGGAAATGACCTAGGAATAAACGTACTGCTTGATTTTGATAGAGCTTACAAAACTCTTTCAGCTGTTGCAGTCCTTTCGACACTTATAGTAATCTGCCTGCCTTCATTGCTTTCTTTACAAAACTAGAATTTATGGGGTCACGTCAATAGTTTTTTCACCAGTAGCTTTTACCTTCCCACTTGCAAATTTTTTTGCCCCCAAATCTCCCAAATTTAAATAGTCTGCCTTCTGCAACCCTCCCCTCACGTTTAGGCTCCTCAGCCGACTACAAACATCGTTTATGGCCTAGCAGCATATCTCACATGGTTGAATATTTGAAAAAAGCTGCTGTGGACCTCTCCTTAAAAATCATACATCTGTTAGAATTGGTGCTACAACAGATTTCGTTCGATACTTAATCCAAGCTGGATGGCACTTGATTTTTTTTTTTTTTTTAATTTTCCTAAGTCAACTTTCTACCCTACTAGCCAAAGAAGCCATTTCGAAGTATCGCCAATATCTTACCAGTATCTATGCTACTCCTGCTTTTGCTCTTTCAACAGATGACCCCCGATTTCTGTTACAATCTGAGTCTCTTATATTCTCGACCTTAGTTAAGACACTGCTATTCTCTTAGTTTCCCAAAGCAGAGGGCTGCGTCATGGAGATGCCATCTCCAGCCTCCACACCCCTCCAGCCCTATGGATGGCAACATCACCATCACTCACTCTGTTCTTGCTCTGTATCCTCCCTGTTACTACTTCAGTCCAGATTGGAATCACTTCTGACACTGTAGGCCAGGAAATCCTGGCACAAACAGCCAAGATAAAATTGACAAATAAGAGTGTTGTCAAGGTACTTGAACCACCAGGTAATAAGATGAATGATAAAAATTCAACAACTGAAACAGCACATTTCAGGTGTAACAACAGTCAAATTAATGAAAGTTCGGCAACAAACCAAAGCATAAATAATAATTTACTATATGAAAAAGGTAAAATTGTAATGCAGTAGGGAAGAATATTTTATTCAACAAATAGTCATTAAATAATTTTTAAAATAAAAGTTTCCCAAAATTATATGCAACAAAATTAAGTTTAGAATAAATCTAAATATTAAGTTTAAGTAAAAATAAGCCAAATTAAAAAAACAGAAAGGTGCCTGGACAGAGTAAGAAAAGAACTATTTCTAAGCATTAATGGAAGTCTTAAAGAAAAAGACTAACAGGTTTGACAACAGACATATGACATCCTTCTGTAAATCAAAAAGGAGCTTTAACAAAATAGAAAAAAATACTTCAAATAAAGAATTAATGTCTGGGATCTATAAAAATCACTTATTAATGGATACTCAAAATAAATATATTCAAGGACTTCGACTTCTGGCTATGAGCTTGTATGTGACCAACTCTCCTACAAAGGGCATCTCAAAAAGTGGATGAGTTTTTAAAAACCTGTTTTAAGGAGCAGGAGAGCTACCAGGGCAGCCATGACCACAGAGGCCAAGATCCTGAAAAGCAGGAAAACACAGTGAGGGAAACCCAGTATTCTGCAGTTCTTTTCTCCTCAAGGCACTTGTGGATTAGTAATTGGCACTGAGAGAGGCTGAGAAGATGAGCAAAAGTGGTCGTTAAGCAGCAGAGAAGCCAAGTTGAGTCTTTAGCCCTTACACGTGGCTACGGAGACAAAAATTGGAATCTGGAGCTGGCAAGGCATCCAGGTGAACCCAGAGAAGTGAGTTGTTCAGCACTTTTCTCCTTGGGGATTTTACCCACTCAAAAGCAGTACAAGGTGGATTGTATGAGTCACCACTAAGAAAATGGCCGGTGAGAAGCTGAAGAAGCCCAGCCGTGCTTTCCATCCATCTATAGAACTGGGAAGACTGGGCCTGCTGAGTGGGGAGGGAGCTCCAGTAAGTGTTCAGTGCTTTCAGCTAGGGCCCCTGACGGCCACCCCCTGAAAGAAAGGGTTGACTATAAATACAGCAGGGCTTACCAAAATTGAGGTAAATTTAGCCCAATCTCTGATTGGATGAAGGTGATTTATCCCATTTAGCTGCCAGACAAAAGCAAAAGTAAATCCTCCCTTAGGGGAAAATCAACCAGAATTTTGTATAATTTTTTAAACACAGCATCTAGGATTAAAAAAAAAAAAAAAAAAGCATACCTGAAAACAGGCCAAGAAGAGAAATAAGAAGCCATGAAACAAATCCATGGTGGTGACTCAGATATTAGAATTATCAGGCATGCAATTTAAAACAACTTTGATTAACACGTTCAAAACTAGAAGAGAAGAAGAAGAATTTCAGAGGAGGACTGCCATGTATAAAAAGTATCAAATGAAAATTCTAGAGCTGAAAAATACAAGAACTGATATTTGGAGTTCAGTAGTTGGATTTGACAGTACTTTGGACAGATAGAGAAGATAGTTGAACTGGAAATAGAAGAATAGAAAATATGTACTCTCTTATCTACAGAGAGATAAAATGAATGGAAGGCTTTAAGTCTAAAAGTAAAAGGATGGAAGAAGATACACCAAGAAAACATTAAACAACAGGAAGCTCATGAAACTACACCAATATCAGATAAAGTAGATTTAAAGACAAGAGGCATTGTTAGACATTTAATAATGAAAAAGTGATCAATTGACAAGGAAGACCTGACAGCTCTAAACCTGTATGCACCCAATAACACAGCTCCAAAGTATCTAAAGAAAAGTTGACCACATGAAAAGAAGGTAGAGAATCCACCATCAGAGTAAGAAATATTTACACATATGTTCAATTGCTGATAGAACAATGAAATATTTAGAATCATAAAATCCATGGTGCTGAGGGTGCAGTATATACCCACTCATATATACTGCAAACTGATGAGGTCTGCCTTGAAATCAATTTGATCTAGTGAGTTTACATTTAAACATAATCAGATACACACAAAGATTGACTTATACTGTTAATTAAAGCACTTATTACTTTTAATGGTAGAACAAAAAAAGGAAAGAAACCTAAAGGACAAGAATGGAGATTATTTACATCAATTATACACATAATTGTATACTATGACACCACTAAAAAGCGTGTTTTCAAAGAAAAAATTGTTGCCATGAGAAAAATGCTAACAATATAATGTTAAAAATTAGAGCTAGAGGAGAAGCAGCATAGAAAACACAATCTAGAATAGCTACTAAATTTTATATTTTTAATGTGCTTGAGTGTGTTTTTATTTTGAAAAATTTAAAAAGATTGAAAGTGAGTGAAATATTGTTTTTTTCTCTTGAGCAAATAGAGGTGACTATTAATTCTGTCATTTCTAGTACTTTCTTTGCACTGCTTTCACTCAAGCCACCTATTACCTTTTCCTCTTTATTATATCTTGGGGACATTTTTTATTCCTTATCTTACCTTCATATTCATGACCACACTCTTTTCCTTGAAATACTATCTTCACTTGGCTTCCCTCATTTTTCACTCTATTTTTCTATCTGCTCCTGCTAGGTGAAATTTGCATCCCCCTTTTTTTCTGCTTTTAAATATTGTTGTATTCTCACTCACAACATCTATTTGGGTATTCAAACACAATTTTTATCTTACATGTGCTGCAAAAGGCAACATAAATCTCTGAAAGGGCTGATTTTAAGGGAACATGGTGTCAAGGGGCGATGGGCCCCATGGAGAACATCTCTAGCCAATTGTAGTCAGGAAAGAACATAAGCCCAATGGTGCTAGTTTTTCAAAATGTTCTTCTTGTGAAATCACCTTTATATGTTTCAGCTAATTCTCACTTTTAAAAGTGATGGCAAAATTAATATTTTTATGTGAAATTACCTCATCTTTACTAAAAGTGTGCAGCTTATTCTTGGAAAAGGAAATGCTGGCCAAAAATAGATAAATCAAAGGGCTGCCCATTATGACCTCTGACCTGTATGGGTATGTTGATGGCTTCTAAATCTGTGTCTCTGGCCCAAACTCTTTCCTGAGATCCAGATCTACATAA